CTTAAGGCAAAATCAGCGGCTGTTGAAGGAGAGATGAAGTCCGACTGACCCGACAACAGATGCTCCTCGCCAGGAGGCTACGGCAGCAGGGGGAGATAAACACTGGCTCGGGGAGCGCTAAGGGGTGTGGGGGGCGGGGGTCAACGATACACGGGAATAAAAACAAACAAGATAAGGAATGTGCTTTAGATAGCTGGCTGTTTGTGAAAAAGAACTGGGATATCTGCCATAAACACACCTCGGAATGCTAACTGAAGAGGTGACGCCCTCAGGCAGAGAGTGAGTAGGTATGGCTGTCCGCCCACCGCTTTTAGCAATGCAGCAAGATCACAGCGGGGAAAAAAGACTTACACATTGTACCCATGTGGGGAATCGAACCCGGGCCTTCGGCTTGATGATCGAACGCTTCAACCACCAGACTACCCTACAGCCCCACCCAGTCTATAGGCACCGATCTACTATTATCAGTCAACAACGTGATCACTAAACCGTGTACAGCACCTGCACGGCACGTGGGTTGATGGGCGGTGTGTGGAGATACCTGGTTACAATCAGCGACACCAATATCGCCATCAGATGTCACCCCGTGTACTCCTCGGGGGAATCAGCCACGTGACATGAACAGCCAACACACGGCCTCTTCACCAACACGTGACATGACAAGCCAACACACGGCCTCTTCACCAACACGTGACATGAACAGCCAACACACGGCCTCTTCACCAACACGTGACATGAACAGCCAACACACGGCCTCTTCACCAACACGTGACATGACCAGCCAACACACGGCCTCTTCACCAACACGTGACATGAACAGCCAACACACGGCCTCTTCACCAACACGTGACATGACCAGCCAACACACGGCCTCTTCACCAACACGCGCCCTACCAACTTCAACGGAGTCAGTGTGGTTGTAAGAAGCGCTCGTAAAATACACAATATCAAACTACGGTTAATAGCAGCTCGACTTGGGTTCGCATTTAGACAGGCGTTTGAGTTATTTAGTTGTTTCTTCATTTGTTTGTTTGTTTGTTGTTTAACGCCGCAATCTGCAATATTACAGCTAAATGACGGCGGTCTGTAAATAATCGAGTCTGGACCAGACAATACAGTGATTGACATCATGAGCATCGATCTACTCAATTGAGATACGATGACATGCATCAATAGGTATGTGTGTGTTTAATATTTGTGTGTATGCGTGCGTGCGTGTTTTTTGTGTGTGGACTTGGTGGGGATTCTTTAGCGGAATCGTTTGACAAATACTCGACTACGCGGCCGGCTGTAAACAATCAGAACTCACTCAATGTGTGCCTCGTGTATCAATGTATCAGTTTACGGTTACCCAACACAGAGATAGTGTCGCGGTACGCACGTGACACAACAAGTACCCCGTGACACCGGGTAACATAGCACAGTCTCCCGGATCTAGATACAAACCATGGGGAAGAGAATCTCTGGACGTCAACTTCTTTATTATGAGGAACACAACGTTTCAGAGTATTTACTTACTCCTTCGTCAGGTGAATCCATGCTATGAGTTAGGGAACAGATCTGTGTGCCTGTAAGAACAACATAAGTAATAACATAACAAAGGTGGTGACGTAACAAAGGAAGCCACCAGATAATGCGCGCTGATAGGTGATTAGCAATGGACAAACGGAAACCAGGACTTAAATTATCACTGATTGGTAATAGGCAATGGGCAAACGGGAGGCCGGGGTAATTATCGCCGATAGGTAATAGAATGGAAATAGCCATGGGCAGCTAGATAATTAGCACCGACAATGATCAAAACAATAAATCCCAAGCACTTTTTCACTTCTAAATGCCCATCAAAGACCAGATACAAGCAGTGGCGTAGCCAGTGAGGCACACAGTGAGAAACAACATAGAAATACAATGAAAAACAGGGTGAGAATCAGGACACAATCAGACTGACGAACACAGTGAAAAACACAGAACGACACATTGAGAGACGGGGCGAGAACACACTCAAAAGCAGGGCGAGAACACACACATGCAGAAACAGGGCAAGAACACACTCAGAAACAGGGCGAGAACACATTCAGAAACAGGGCAAGAACACACTCAGAAACAGGGCGAGAACACATTCAGAAACAGGGCGAGAACACACACATTCAGAAACAGGGCGAGAACACACTCAGAAACAGGGCGAGAACACACTCAGAAACAGGGCGAGAACACATTCAGAAACAGGACGACAACACATTCAGAAACAGGGCGAGAACACACACATGCAGAAACAGGGCGAGAACACACACATGCAGAAACAGGGCGAGAACACACTCAAAAACAGGGCGAGAACACATTCAGAAACAGGGCGAGAACACACTCAGAAACAGGGCGAGAACACACACATGCAGAAACAGGGCGAGAACACACTCAAAAACAGGGCGAGAACACATTCAGAAACAGGGCGAGAACACACTCAGAAACAGGGCGAGAACACACACATGCAGAAACAGGGCGAGAACACACTCAGAAACAGGGCGAGAACACACTCAGAAACAGGGCGAGAACACATTCAGAAACAGGACGAGAACACATTCAGAAACAGGGCGAGAACACACACATGCAGAAACAGGGCGAGAACACACTCAAAAACAGGGCGAGAACACATGCAGAAACAGGGCGAGAACACATTCAGAAACAGGACGAAAACACATTCAGAAACAGGACGACAACACATTCAGAAACAGGGCGAGAACACATTCAGAAATAGGGCGAGAACACATTCAGAAACAGGGCGAGAACACATTCAGAAACAGGACGAGAACACACTCAGAAACAGGGCGAGAACACACTCAGAAACGGGGCGAGAACACACTCAGAAACAGGGCGAGAACACATTCAGAAACAGGGCGAGAACACATGCAGAAACAGGGCGGGAACACATTCAGAAATAGGTGAGAACAAACACAGAAACAGGGCGAGAACACATTCAGAAAGAGGTGAGAACACACATTTAGAAACGGGCGAGAACACACTCAGAAACGGGGCGAGAACACACTCAGAAACAGGTGAGAACACATTCAGAAACGGGGCGAGAACACATGCAGAAACAGACGAGAACACATTCAGAAACGGGGCGAGAACACACTCAGAAACAGGGCGAGAACGCACTCAGAAACAGCGAACAAACGGATCTCCAAAGATAAATGTAAAAGCTGATGTAGAACTGTATGCCTGACTTCGGTTCAACGCCGTCTTTGTCAGGGTATAACGAATGTCTTAGCAACACCCAGAGTGAAGCAGGCACGAGGACGGTGCTATCAGACCGAGGGTCATAATCGAGGCGACTTAGGGATTAGAACCCGGGATCGCGACCAGCGGAACCTGACACGACAAAGGGACGCAACTCTACACGGTGAATATATAGAATTTATCTACAACTCAAAACATGTTTTATTGTTCACACCATTGACGAAATAGCTATTGTTTATTTTGCATTGTGAAACCATTAATGGTAATAACTTAATGGTTTTAACGGTTAATTAGAATCTGATCTTAGTTTAACTTAGAAAAGGATTGACTGGGCGCAAAAAGTTCAACAGAGCGTCAAACAGCATTGCTGTCAAAAGATCTAGGTGTCAATAACAATGGCGACTGTAGTTTCTCCGACCCGTAAAGATCCGGGTTAGAATAAGTCTTCAGCAACCCATGCTTGCCGGAAAAGGCGACTATGCTTTTCGTTAGATGCAACTAACTGGATCGGGTGGTCAGGCTCGCTGACTTGGTTGATGCGTGTCATCGTATCCCAATTGCATGGATCGGTGCTCATGATGTCAATCACTGGATTGCCTGGTCCACTTTTTCTTATTCATAGACCGCCGCCATATAGCTGGAATAATGCTGAGTGCGGCTTTATATGTAGTATCCCGTGTGAGCTGCACGCAGAACTCACCTATATGATAATTAGTATAATTGCCATCACTGACGGGAGTCCACTTCGTGATCAGTGTAACCGACAGCAATCAATATCATCTCTGTGTTCCGAACAATACCAACCCATTATTGCATAATCCCAATGCTTAACTTTCAGCTGATGAATCCACACTTTCGGGTCATGATGCTCAAGTGGGTTCGCCTAAAGACAGGACATTGTCATTGAATACATATTTTTGCACGAACATAAAATGTCAAATACACGTTTTTATTGTGCTGCAACCCCGCGGCCACCTGTAGGTCATTATCACGAGTATTGTGAAACACTGCCTGCGGACAGCGTGATCTCAAACAACTGCACGAGTCGAGCATCAATATGAACTGATGCACACATCATATTACATGCAAATTGATCTGTCGATAATCAATAAAGAATCATTCATTATACAACGTTACATCGCCCGCTTTTATAGCGACGTGCTAGCTAGTTTAACACTTTACACATCCTTGACAAAAGAAGGATGTTGAACAGACAGAACACAATGGAGCTACACTACATTACCAAGGCCGTGAAAAGTAATTGAAGCGGCACACATATATATCATCTTCGAATAATAGGGATCATCTCAAACTATGTGAGACATACACGTATAGCTGAGTCTTAAAATAAAAGGCATATCATATTATTCTGTCTGGTTTTAAGTATTAACCAACATAATTATTTGTTTGAAAACTAATAAGCGTGCAAAAATGTGTCATCAATATACACATCTATAATTTCATTTGAAATTTGAAATTAAAGGTACACATAGATATATTCATAACACTTTGTTTTCTTTTAAATCACGTTAATAGATACTGACAATGATGGAATATGTTATAGACAGGATAGCATTGATGAAACTTAAAAGGAGATCGTTAATTTAACATTGGTTTTCACCCTAAGAGACCAAACGTACAGAACTTAGTAAACGTTATTTCAGTATTTTGATACCGACCCTGGAATGCTCGCCAGGCGCAGATGTGCTATAACGAATGATATCATTAAACACCGGAGCGTGCTCGGTCGATAAAGATCGGAAACTACCGAGCGTTACCGAAGAATCCCGGAATTGGCGCAGCTTCGGGTTGTGTCATGGTTGACAGGTGTGTTGAAGAAGATACGATGTTTTGATAAGTTAAAAGTTCCGTTTGGCTACGTTCTTGGTGGCGTTTGGAAGAACCGGATAACAGAAACAACACATGCAATCGGGAGAGGAATTCATGGCGAGTTTAGGCCACAGTACACGATGCGACGGACGCGAGTGACCTCCCTCCACTGGGAGACGGAACTAGCATAGCAGACTTCACTTTCTGTTCACCGATGGATGAGATTATGTTCTAAGTTTTTGAGTGGATGTGTTTACAGTTTTAGTGTCCAAGATGTCTGCAAGTTTCTTGCACATCGGAGATATCGTGTCCCTTTATGCCGAAGGGAGTGTCAATGGATTTATCTCAACCTTGGGGTAGGTATTTTGTCAATTTGTACCACGAAAATAGAAAACAACACGGTTTCACGTGAGATTCGGTCCAGTTGTCACCAACCGCGCATGACGGACTTCCCCGCGTGCAGACGACCATTTCACATCTCTCATACAACACACACAATCCACATGCAGTACACACTTTATAGTGAAAGACGTCTCGAGGAAATGGAAACTGCAGATCAATGAATGTTTGTGGTCATAGATGTCTGTAACATTGATGGAAATTGAAAATTTTACCAAGACCATTGCGTTGGACATATGATATAGATCTAGGTGTTGCTACCCCCTCTAAAGCCAAATATAGTACCCACACTTGATCCACCTGTTTGACGTCTGCTCATTTTCAATGGAAAATAGGTGGGACACCAGTTCCATACATATGAAGAGCAGAAATCACTTAGATAAAGAGTGAGACTTTAAAGAATGGTGCAATAATTGAAATGCTGGTTTTACGATATAGCCCATCTACGCAAGATATGCTTCGGTTGACTAATCAGGCATAATATTTGTACGAATATGACCGCAACCTTTATATTTCATGTCAAGGGCTAACAACAATCGCTGGCAGGTATTCCCCTCTCGAACAAGAAAACCTTGAATGATATATTTGCAACATCAGTGTTCAATTTATTTTTCATTGAGGATGTTGAGATTTGCTGCTAGAGTATTTGAGTCCTTTAATCTATAATTTGTGACAAAAGACCATAAATTAATGATTAGATTGTCATCTAACTGCCTCACTATAAAAAAAATCTCACCTTGCATAATTGTATTATTTAAATATTGACTTTCACTTTGTGTGAGTTCATTGGAGTATGAACCTTCATAGAGTGGGGGCCATACTGTATGAACCTTCATAGAGTGGGGGCCATACTGTATGAGCGTCAGAGCTTGAAAAGTGACATCAGTGTACGCATCCTCACAGTGACATCTTTGTAGTTTGTTTACAACAAATTTATTCAAATAATTATTAATATCGTCATTAGTAGAGCAAGGTCTGCCAAGAACTACCTCAGTAAGTCAGTCACAATGACAGCGTGCTGTAATACATTTACATCAGGTACTCTAGGGTTTCTATTTTAACTGGGTTATTATTACACTTTTCATTGGGTAACCAATATTTTTTCACTCATCTGTCCACCACTCTTTTGGGTATTTCCCCAAAAGAGCGAACATTTTAACATGTTTAAGATTTTAAAAAAATGAAATAATGTTTTAGATGTACATAACCATGATAACCGTTCTTAATATAATATAGGCTTGACTTGGAAAGTAAATTAGCTCATAATTGTGTTTCGAAAATTAGCTTTTTTGTACGCATGCTGAAAAAGCTTCATTCATGTTCATTGGGTATTTACACGTGCTGTTTTATACTTTTGAGTTTTTCATTTAATGCATGCGTTTCTGTAATGCAAGTAAGTTGAAAGTAAATGGGTTTTGAATATTTTTTGGGGGGTATTTTACGCACATATACTGCTTATCTGTAGTTCTGTTTGTTGTTTGACACTGGAGTCTGGACCAGACAATCTAGTGATTGATATTGTTAGTAATGATCGACGCCCTCTGGGAACAATGATGCGTAATCAACCAGGTCACTGAGTCACTGCCTCATACGACCAGCATAGGTTGCTAGAGACCAATTCTAGCCTAGTATCCTCATGGTAGACTAACACTAACCCTCTGAAACTATGTAATGTTGACAGAAACGAGGAACTGCATTTGAATTCAAAAGGAGCCCCAGTGAGATGAGATATTCAGAACCTCAATCTAGACTTGCTTCATTTAGGGATATAACATTACAGTAAGGGGAAAATAATATGGTTCAGGGGTTGGGGTCTCCCAGACGCTAGAGAATAAATTAAGAACTGGAACAGACAGTCCCATAAGGCTGCTGCCTGACCACTCCCCAGGGGATTCCTCAGGTCTCTGTTTATCAGTGTGTGACATGAGTTTTTGTACCACAGAAGACCTCTATTGTTGCAGATCTGAGCTGTTTGCAAAAATTTTCCACAGCATTCTTGTTTATTGTTTTCTGTAACAGTATATATCCGAAGAAACTCACACCCATGAAGATCCGGGGTAGGGTCTTCAGCAACCCATGCTTGTCGTAGCGGGATTGGGTCGCCTCTGACGTGACCCGTAATGGGATGTCCTCAGATCTTTGTTTAGCGATAGCGAGAACTAAGATCTGATTTTAATGAGATTGAGAAATGCCAAATGTGCTCTATTTCAGTGAGTCCTCATTTCTATTTCTGGACAAATGTAACTATTCTTAGAAGAGAATGGATTAGTATGATATTGACCTTTGCATGACAGGACTCCAATCAACATGATCACCTGTAATTACCTGAGATTACACACAATGTGGGTATTGGCTATTTGTCTCACTAACTTTCCTGTCAATAGATCTGATGTATTGATCAGAATCTATGAGGGGTTTCTCCACTCAATGACAAATCGATACATCATGATTTGTCACCTCAAGAAACAGTACACAATATATCTACCTATGTATTGGCTATTGATGCAGGGTCGGGTGGCCTAGTGGTTAAAGCGTTCGCTCGGGTTCTATTCCTGACATGGGTACAATGTGCGAAGCCTATTTCTGGTGTCACCTGTCGTGATATTGCTGGAATATTGCTAAAATATGCTGACACTAAAATCTAATGAAAAGGACGTTAAGAGACATGGTCCGGCTAGCAGACTCAAAAGTCTTTGGCAGAGTGCTACATCTGATTGAATAGGAAAGGACCGAGAGTAAGCAATCATGCAAATTATACACGAAATGGTTGACTGCCCAACCTTGTGTTTTTCTGGCCCTGTGGAACATGAAGAATTCACTGAAACATGGTGATTGAAGATGTAGTATCGTGATACATATTGGTGTTTCAAGTATTGCTATGGGTAGGCATATCATGACAACTCCAACATATACTACTCCGGTACTGCATATCAAAGACTTAATTTACCTGAAATCTAAATTTGTTTTTGAATACTACGACTTGTCATGTGAATGCTTTTGCTTAATGTGACTAGCACTTGAACGCTGTTGATAAGGTCGTGTATACAGTGGTACATGCAGATGATACCAGGAAGTCTGTGTTCGCTGTTGGTGCAGACGAAGACGAGCTGGTTATAAAGTGTAAACACAGGGTGCCTTAGAATGCTGGACTTTACTCTTCAACAATATTATGTTTGGCAACATAATCAGGCATTTGGAACATTTGTTCCCTCAAACTAGGGTGCTGATATAATAACTAATTTGGCATAATTAGCGGATATGTGAAGTCATCTGCCATTGGCCTCATAAACAGGGACATTAAATCTGCCATTGGCCCCATAAACAGGGACATTATATTAAGAAAAAGATTTTACTGATTTTAACTATATCATATATATACAATGATATATGGACCTAAAAAGAATAATATGTGTGTGTCTGATATTCTGACCGACTCTAATCTGGAACCTCTGACCCCAAACGTTTTTCTTGTTGTTCTCCTGGTATTGATTGTCATGGCGGAGGGGTAGCCTAGATGTCAGAACATTTGCCTGTTGCGCTGAAGCCCTGGGTTCAATTCTCCACATGGGTACAATATATACATTGACGGAATATTACAATATCCATACTCATTTGCTTCTGGTATTGTCCCTTATTTATACCCTGAGTACATTTGTTGTGCAACGCTATACATAAGCCAGTCATGGTCTTCAGTTGAAAACAGGTTTTAGGTACTGCCAGGGGTTTATCTAGTTCCTGTACACATACCCGGTGAGTATTCGGCCCCAAGTCTGCAGCAAATGTCTTTTAAAATTGCCAGAATGGAATTAATAATGTCCCCATTCATCATGTTCATGTTTATGATATATATGATAACTAGTTAGGAGGCAATAAAGAGGCAGAGGTTTTATATTATTGCACCAAATACAATCTCAAACTACAAGGTAAAATATCTCTGAATTAAGAAAATATGAACTTAAAACAAATCCCAACTTTGAACAATGTTATCTTCCCAATTAGTTTAAGATCCTGGATAAATCCCTGATTTCAGATTACCATTTTTCCAAGAAATAATAATATTTTTTACTTATCGACCATATTTGTGGATGGGCTTAAACAGCAAACAAATATTTTTTGTCAATTATTTTCAAGACATGTTGTATTCTTTTGAAGTGGTCAAGTTGGTACAGTGTGTGTAGTAGGCTTCTCCATTCAAATCTTGTCAGTTCACCAACTGTTATGCCAAGTAATTTAATATGATAATCTATTATAATACAATAAATTATGTAGAATGAAATTTAAAAAATAATATAAAGTATTTAAAAGAAATCTAGGGCCTTATGTTTTAATTCTTTAAGAATAACAATGAACTGTCTTACCTAATGTATTACTTATCGTTGTCTTTCACCAGTGTTTACATGTACATTAATCATACTGTTAATACAGAGGTGTATAGGCGGGCCTCGTCCATCATGCACATTAAGTTAAGTTAAACATGAAACAGCTTGACTGACATGTCAGCCTATTGTAGAGCCATCTTGTATTTGAAAAGTCATTAGCATTTAAATCTATAAATTCTGTTGATTCACCTAGACTAACATCTAGTCTCTGAAATGAACATATCTTACAGAAAAAAAACCACTTGTTACATTATCTTAATAAAAATATAATAAAAAGGAGCCCAGAGACTCTCTTTATTTTCAGATACTGCAGTAATCTAGACTTGCCAAACATTATAGACTTGTAGCATTGTGTAGGGCTGTATTGGCTATATTTGTATCAGGGTCTGTAGGACAGATACTCCTAGGAGCGGGAACCCCATGGTGTCTCACCCCCACACATAGCTGCACGTTTTGTGGAGGCTTGTTGACCCTTGGCCCTGCTCTCATGCCACGCCCACCCTTAATAAAGCCCACATTTCCAGCAGGGTGTCACCTCTGTTTGCTCATGTCCTCACCTCTCAATCTGTCTTTATCAT